ATGTGGCTTCAGACTGGATCAACAGTCAATGTATGACAGCTTCTGGCAGACAACCACAACACTGACGCAGACACAAAGGGGGAAAAAAATAAAACATCTAAAGAATAAACTCTACATTTTACAAAATACTAAAATGATGATGATAAATAAAACAAAGTGTCTTTTTAACTTAAATATGTTGACTTTGTTTTGAAAATCTCAGACTTTTCCCCCCATAATTCCTTTTATTGAATATTCCAACAGAGACTTTATAAGGTTGCACATTGTCAGTCAGCTTCTTCTTGTTCCCTGTTTTATTTTAGTTAATAAATGTAGTTAATTGTATTCATTCCATTCAACTGAACAACTTTAAGTTCACTCAAAACAACTGAGTAGATTCAACAATTAATTTTTGAGTTTAATTAATGTGAATAAGTGACTCAAAGTTTTTTTTTATCAGGTTTTACATTACGGTTTAAATCGTATTTATAAAAGATTTGTGTTACATTTTGCTGAGATGCTGTCGGCCTTTGTGTGTTTGTGTGTTTGTGTGTTTGAATCAGGGAATTAATTAAAGATTAAAGTTACCTGGGAATAAACGGAGCTCCTTTAACGAGCCTTACAGGTGATTATTCTTCCACTCTGGTTGGTTTGAGAGCTGCAGGCGGAGTTAATGAAAACTGAAGCGTGAGCGGCGGCGAGATGTTTATCAGCCCGTTGACCTCCGGGCGAGGGTCAGCGCTTCCTGCGGTGAACCCGGTGAACACGATGGAAACGCGGCCGCCTCCACTAACGACTTTCTCACAGTTTACTGATAACGAATGCTCAGATGAGAAACACTTTCCACATTTCCGACAAACGACACAACGACACTGTAAAACCAGGGTCGTTAATTTAACTCAATATATTGTCAATCAAATATTTTAAGTAAAACGAACATTCTGGATCAAGTAGCTTTACTCATTTTAAGTGACACTGATTTAATTTAGTAGTTTTTATTTGTCCTGTAAAAAAACAAAAGTAAAAACTATTTAATCAGGAATATTTCTGAAACTTAAAAAACTAATTTAGTGTCACTTAAAATATAAAATAAAAGAATCTTTTTAACTCAACAAAATTTAGTTTATGTAACTTAAAATGTTTGAACTTTGTACTGGAGCTAACGTTAGCTTAACTGTAGCTACAGGCGGACTTTAATTCAGTTATTGACCTTTGACCTTTGTTCAGGATCGACTCCTTCAAACTAAAAACTTTACACTGTAAAAATATGAAGGTTTAAAAAAAAGCAAAGATTTGAGGCAATAAAAAAAAAATACTTTTACAGAATTAAACTTAATTTCTTAAAGGAAAAGTTTCTATAACTGTTGACAATAAAATTTATTAAAATATGTAATATCTGCTTACAGCTACATTATAAACCAATTATTAATTAATATTATCTGTTTATTATTTAAATATTTTTATATTTTTGTCAATAAATTGAATCTATGCTGCTTGTTGTCATCAGTGTGTTCCTGTTTGTTTTTATATTTATTTATTTGTAATAAATTTATGTATTTATTGATTAATTCTGCTGTTTGTCATCAGTGTGTATTTAATGCCTGCACACCTAATCAATAATCAATAAAGTTTAAGGTGTAAACTGGCTGTGTGTGTGTGTGTGGAAACCAACAGAAACAGAAGAGTATTAAAATAAGAGCTCTATTTAATCAGTATGAATCAGAACTTCATTAAAATTATGTTGTTAACATTTTACCTTCATCAAAAAGTAAAATATATTGTTCCTGATTGTTTATGAGTATTTTTACTTTGACCACATTCTCACACACACATCTGAACTTTGTGCTGATTACGTTTTAAAAACAGACTTTAATGTGTTTGAGGTGAATTATTGATTACTTTTGTTCTTTTTGCATCAGCAGGACGTTGTCATGGAGATTCAGACAATATTCAGTTAACACAGAAATAAAGAAACAGTAATTCTACTTATACTAATAAAGAATCTGTGCGTTCTGTGATTTGGACATTGTTATTGATTATTGATTATGTTTCCTTTAACTGTGCAGCGTCTCTTAACCGACTTCTGCAGAAAATCTGACACAAATCTGACACAAAATGTATTTTTCAATCTTTAGGAGCAATAAGCATTATTAAGTTAATTATTAAGTTTATTGATAAGTGACAATGGATGAGTTTATTCACACTGACCGAAATCCATTACTGTCACTCATTAAGCAACAGTTGTAGATTCTGATGAGTTTAAATAGTTTTTGTCGAAGTGTATTCACATCATCACAGGAGAATGTTGTACTTATTTTATATAATAGTAATAATAATAAAAACTTATATTGCACCTTTTAAAAACAGACAAAGCAAAATTATCACCCTGATAAACAAAATCTAATTAAATATTAAAATACAGAATAAATACAATAATAGAATAGAAACTGTGAAAGTCTTTAAAAATGTGTTTTATGAACAAATCAATCTAATTTTAGATTAATTTATCTTGAATAACTGTGTGCTTTTATTTTGAAAAAAGGAGGAACATAAAGCACATTAAAGGCTCTAACATTATATTTTATTTTATTTTCAACAAAGTGAGCGCTGTAATAAATATAATTACTCATAATATATACAGTTATAAAAACTAAACCAAGTATTTAAGTTTCTACATTAAATTTAGTCATTAATGGACAAAGATGGCGGGTAATGTGTTTGTTGTGGACCTGCTGTCTCTCAATAAAAACTGTTCCGGCTGTTCTGCTCGACTGAACCGGATCACAGGAAAAACCAACAGACGTGACTGGAATCAGAAAGTCTTCCTGTTTCCTTCTGCTGCTGCTATTTATAGAAAGTTACACATTATAACAGATTTAAAGCAGAATAACAACATTAATGGGAGTTCTCCATCACAACAAACTGTTTATTATTATATCATATTTATTATCTGGACTCAATCTGACTTTATGGGCACTTTTTATGGGCTTTTATTTATTTATTCTTTATTATTTCTGCTGCAGTTGTTTTGAAATGAGTTCACTGCTGCTGGGAAACTGTATCTTTGTGGTTTGAGTGGAAACATCCAATTATCTGTGTGGGTTAATTACCCCCATGAATAAACCATTAACGGGAAGCGGCGCGCTCTCTGATTGGTCGGCGCCCAGAGGACCGGATAGAAATACCGGGTGGGGACGGTGAGACTCAGGAGGACTTACAGGAACCCGAACCAGAACAACCTTCATCATCCACCTCAAACCGGGACTCAACATGCAGCCTGGATCCGCTCTGCTCCTCCTGCTCCTCGGCCTCAGCGCCGCCGCCTGCTTCGAGCTGCTGCCGGAGGAAGCTGCTCCCCGCCGGGCACGATTCTCCTCCAACAGCCCGAGTGAGTCCCGGTTCTGGTTCTCAGAACTTCTGTTGGTTGGACTGTAACTAAGTACTTTTACTTCAGTACTTGTTAAAGATCGACATATGTCTTTTATTTAGGGCTGATACGGATATTGATTATTGATTATTAGTGAGGAAACTGATGCATATTTGCAGTAAGATGAAAATATTAGTGTCAAAATGTAAAAATAACCAGCAGTAGAGTGAATATGTACTCAGTTACTGTAATTTATCTTTAGTTACTTCTTAAAGATCGATACAGATATTGATTATTAGTAATCAAGAAAAACTGGTGTAGATATTTTACTTTTTACACATTTATTTGATAACTTTAGTTAATTTGATGTATTAATATATTTGAATTGATATTATTATGAATATTTATAATTAATACAAAATATAAAGCAGCTCATAAATTATGATGCATTATTATAGATTAATCTACCCAACAATATACATAGCACATAGTTTACATTAACCTCTAAACACATAATTTACCTGCACAGGTTTAATCTCTGTTTTTCTAGTTTATTTTCTCTCTCTGCACATTTTAAATTCCTCTGCAAAAGTTTAATTTATCTCATTTAATGTATGGCTACTGTGCTATAGGTTCATTTTAATGTATGTATGTTTGTGTGCTGCTGAATGCTTGAACTTCCCTCGGGATAAATAAAGTATCTATCTACTAATTAACTAACTAGCTAACAACTGACATTGGCTACCTAGTTAGCAAGATAATGTTAAGTTTTGTTAATATTTGGTTCCCCACTGAGCGGACTCTGGCTCCAATGTGTCGATGTTCTGGTTCAGTTGGAGACAGACGTCATCGTTTATATGCCAGAAGCTAACGATTAGCTTAGCTTAAAGGTTCAGTGTGTAGGATTTAGTGGATTCTAGTGGTTGACTGCAACTTCCTCGCTTGTGTGTTCACATAGTGTGTATTTGTGTGTGTGTGTGTGTGTGTGTGTGCAGCTGATGTGGCCAGATGTTTGAACGGCGCCGTGGCTGTCGGCTGCGGATTCTTCTCCTGTCTGGAAAACTCAACCTGCGACACCGACGGGATGCACGAAATCTGCGAGCTCTTCCTGCACACGGCCGCCACCTTCAACACGGAGGTGCGTCCTGTCGTCCTGTCCGTCCACCTGTCTGTCCACCTACCTGTCTGTCTGTCTGTCTGTCTGTCTCACCTGTGCCTGTCGCTCTCCACAGGGTAAAACGTTTGTGAAGAAAAGCCTGCACTGCATCTCCCAGGGAATCTCATCGAAGGTTTTCCAAACGATCCGCCGCTGTAACATCTTCCAGAGGATGATCGCAGAGGTCTGTGAAATAAACAGATTAAATAAATAATAATCAATAATCAATAATCAATAAATCAATCTGAGTGTTTGTCTCGTTTAAAAAGGTCCAAGAAGAGTGTTACACCAGTCTGGACATCTGCACTGTGGCTCGAACCAACCCTGACGCCATCGGAGAGGTGGTGCAGGTGCCGGCTCACTTCCCCAACAGGTGACCACACACACCTGTCTGTCTGTCAGC